ATAGCATATTATTAGCCAAGAAATATACCAAACTGTGACTTTTTATGGAGCTTAAGGAGCCACAGACATATTAAGAGTGGAATAGGGTTCATCTGCACCGACAATTTTTCTGCCTTGATCGTCCACGATACTGTAGCAAAATAGCATTTTCCATGTCAAACACCAGACTGTTGATAATTATTATTGATGGTGTGAATTTTGAATCTTTAGGTTGTCAGATCTCCCCAGCTCGTCTGAGAGAGACCAGCAAGGAAGCATAATGTTTATATATGTGCAACGTGAATGCAAACCTGGAGCCCAAAAACTGAAATAGACAGGCAGTCTTTGAGTTTGGTGTCCACTTCACTTTAATAGTAATGATCTATGCAGGTTTGAACATGATTACTGAATTTGTTTGATGAGAATTAAACTGCACTGTTTTATACATGATACACAAGAAAGTATCGTGTCCCTGCAACACGGTTGTGTTTGTCTAAGGCAAAAGGTACAAGTCTTACCACAGTTTTAATCCCTAACACTGTTCCATTCTAAAGATTTTCCCTTGTTTGCATCCATCCTTTAAATTACTGCTATCTTGTGGCTTCAGTGGCTGTTCTCTGCGGAAGCATGCTGGACTCTGCTTGACTTGAACCCCACTGAAATATGTAGCGTCCGTTAATTTCATGGGGATGTGGGTCGGCAAGCTGAGAGACCAACAAATGTTTCTGGTTGTGTATTGTTGATAAATCAGACAAGCTGCTGCTGGCTGGCTCAGGTTTCACTGCTCTGAGATCAGTTACCATCTGCGCTTTGTGTTTGAGTTTTCTCTTGCTAAACATCATGCAGTTTGGAAACATTTTCAATATCTCCTTTAGTACATTAGCAAAGAAAGCCTTGCTGGTGCAGGGGAGACATAGGCTCTTGCAGCAGGTCTTGGTGAGCGCTCAATTATCCAATTAAGGAAAGTCCACAAAGTTGATTCGTAGCATTTTCAGTGTGAGAAACGTTGCTCATCCAAGTGATTTCTTCAGGTGTCGGCGTCTCTGCTTGTCTGTCTGCTAAAGTCACCACAAACTACTGCATCACTGCCATAGTCGCCACATTTTTATTTATTTTCTTTGGTTTAATTTAAGCAAAGTTGGGTTATTTAACCTAGGGTGGCCATATTTTGATTTCCAAAAAAGAGGACACTTGTGCCAGTCATGAAGAACTTTAATAATACTGTTTACTGAAAGAAAACTTTAACATATTTAAACTATGCCTTCTCTGTGTGGTTAATGAATGGTGAAATAAAAACTGTCATATAGGTTTTACAAGTCAACAAGTGCAAAAAAAAAAAAAAGAGGACGGTTGGTCACCCTATTTAATCTCCATTGTCTCTGGGGTCTCACCATTTTCCCTAAAATACTATAAACCAAAGGATATCCAACCAAATGTTCATATTTGATGAGCTGTTTTTAATTTTCCACAGAATTAAAATGTAATTGTGCTAAATGACACTGTAAACTGATAGTGAGCATTGGTATGTAAACGAAGGAGAACCACCGGCGTTGCTGTCAACAGTCCCTGTTTCTTCTTCTGTTTCTTCTTTACTAACAATAAACATTTTTTTACATTTGTGTTATTTCACACATGTCAAAACTTACAACTTTAAGCAATCAAGCAATTCAGTAGAAGCACAATAGTCATGCTTTTTCAGTGTGCATGCTTTGAACAGTGGTGATTGTGTCAGATTATATGAGTCTGCGAAGAAAACGTTTCTTTC